GAAGCTTTTATTGTCTTTGTTTACGACTGTTGTGATTGGTTGAATGTTTTAACACAAAGGAAACTACCTTTCAAAATAGAGTTAAAATACATTTTATTTCATAAACCTTCTTTCCATCGGTTGATTCATTCTACGTATGAAAACACAACTGTTTTGATGTGGGGAAAGCGTATTGCCACAGAATAATAGAAAATGCTACAGTTCTTATCTGGATCATTACTTAATAGAAATCGAGAGTGAAAGATCTAATAATAATATTGTTTTTGTATTAAATTATATAATATAGTATTATATTATAGTATTATATAATATTGTTTTTTCATTAAAATGAAATGATCTCCAAGCATTTCTCAACGTAGTGTTAAACTTCATGCTTTAGCAAAATAGCGGAGAATGAATTGTTATTTGAAACTTGCAATTGTGCACCTGCCCTCATCTGTTCATTGAAACATTCTGAGGTTTTAAACTTGCAAAACAGTCAGTATCCTTTCTTTACAGTTCTTAGGAATGTAACTATCCAGCAATATTTCTAAATCTTCCTCCAAACAGGAGAGAAACTAGAAAACATTGCACTTTAATGGCTGATTTTTAGTATTTGAGCAGCTCAGCCAATCAGATTGCACCATTTTCATTAGTGTTACTAGTAGAATTCTGCTTAAGAAATAGAAAACATGTACCGTGTTTCTATCGAGTTATAGAAACACGAGTGGAAGTTTGGGAGAATGAGGAATGTGGGAACACGAGCTGCAGGCCAGTTTTTCTACAGCTTTTTCCAGTTCTCCCAAACTTTCACTTCCTGGAGCTTTGGAAGTTCAATATAAACATTGTCGGTCAAGGCAGTCACTTCTAAATAAATGTCTATTACTGCATTTTAAACTTACATTACTTTCACACTATTATAGAATTAAGGGCGCTCTTCACCATTACCATATCACTAAAATATATAATATCAAAATATCTCGCAATCATTGTAAATTTATTCTCATCTACATTGTATAACAAAAACTACAGTTTGTTCAGAAAGGATCTAGATCATCACCAGTCTCCTTATGCTGGGGCATCCGACTGGCACGGAAACATGCAAAAGTTAATGGGCTCTTTCCTTGTTCCATGCTAGCAACAAACTATAAATGATAGGTTAAAATGTTGCAATGATAAAACTAGGCTTGATTACCAGCTGCTGTTTTGGGAAATGAGCTCGCGCTTGGGAGAGCAGCAGAAATCGAGCCTATGGTAAAAAATACATGTAAAAATTGCCAATATTGCCAGCACCAGCATCTTAAAAATTGAAATGTACGTGCTTGCATAACTAGTGGAGCTACTGGCACACAATAGTGAGGCAGTTCAAAAACTGAAGAGTGAAGTTCTAGGAAGAACATTGCTTATTTTTCTGGCTTTCCCCATTCTATTATTATTAGTAAAATACAGTTTCAGATCAAGAGTTCATTAATTCGGTGCCTCTAGAAAGTGGAAATTCACATTTCAAATTGACTTGAGAACAAAGAACAGCATCATGTTATTGTAACATTTCTCCAGTATTTTTTTTTAACTCTACACAGACTGGGATGGATGGTGGGGGTAAGGGGNAAAAAAAAAAAAAAAAAGATAAGAAAGGAAGGTAAAAAATAGATACTGGACTGAAAACAGATTTTCAAATCAAGAGTTCATCTTTGGCACTGGTGCCACTAAAAAGCAGAACTTCAAATGTTCAAAAGGAGATGGCTCAAGAAGAAAGTACAGCACATGGTCAGGTTGTTAAAAGAAATATTTGTTTTTCTTACTTACAATTTTTTTTTTACCACTTATTCTTTTCTGTAGTTTGAGATTACTCTGCTCAAAACTGAAGGACAAACAATAAAAACTGAAAAGTTACAAAACTGTAATAAAAATTGTTGTTAATCCTTGGTTTCATAGTAAATGGTTTGAACCCAGGAGTATCAGTAGTTCGTATAGTGTGATCGTCCGGGTGAGTGTACCAACAACAGTTCTTTTCAGAACTACACTCACCCAGAAGATCACACTATATGAACAATCCTTGGTTTGCTGTTGAACAGCCAAGCCCAGTATTGTCAGTATCAATCCAATGTTTTAACCATATTCAGGCCAGGGTGATGGGTGGGTTTGAAAGTCACCACACTCACTTTACCACAGTTCATAACTTTTTCACTATTTCAGTAAAAACGTTACTTTGTAAGTAAACATGAATGAGAAAATGCCCAGTCTGTATAGGGTTACAGCACTTTTCCACATACCATTGTTGTACTGTGGCTGCAAGACACGGACAAGACCTTGAGTTTTTCAGGTAAAGCAACACACTTTGGTGTGGAGCAATCATCGTCCGACTGCCCTCCCAGACGCCCACGAGCACCCTTGCCCCATGTGAACACATCCTTGTCATTGCTCACTGCAACTGTGAAAGTGTCCCCTCAAGACACAAAAGTCAACTTTTTGTTTTCCAAAGCTTGTACAATCCGAGGCTCACGCAAACTTCCTTCGCGTTCATACCCAAGCTGTCCAAACGAGTTGGAACCAAATGTCAGGCATTTACCGCTGGCAGTCAGCACTGCAGTGTGTGATGTTCCCATGGTAACAGCTTTAACAGGCTCAGCCATTACCGCCTTAGCAGTTATAGGTTTTAAGGTATGTGACTCGTCAACAGTCTGGTCATCCATGTCCAAGGCCAGCTTGTTACATCTGTTGCTGCCGCAGGCTAACAACCTGTCATTGAGGGCTAATACAAAAGAGCAGTCCACTCCACACTTAACAGCTCTTGCCGTGAAGCCAGGTTCGAGACTCAGTGGTTGTGGGAGCGTGTGTGACTGTTGGTTTCCAAGCCCAAGACGGCCATTATCTCCTCGGCCCCAGGCAAAAAGTTCGCGGTCGGCTGTCACAACTATTACATGGGAAGCACCACAAGATACCTGAGGGGAAGGGGAGGATGTGGGGAAGGAAGAGGAGAAAAAAGTGTGTCAGTTTAGAGGACGCAGCACCATTTCAGCATGCTCATTCAACCAATAACAGAAACACACAAAAAAGAAATCTCCTATGCATTTGCAATGACAGGCATCTAACATGTTAAAACTGAGGCAACCTGATAACCTGAAACAACCTGAAAACTGATATAGACTTTGTATTTCCATTATAACTGTTAACAGTAGATGCTTGCATGGTCAATTGGATGACAAGTTTGCAAAGTGTAATTCAGTGAATTGTGCCAACACTGCCTCCCCCCCGCCCCCCCTCACACCTTTCCCCCTTGTTGTAGACCTGCCCAGCTCACCTGTTCTACTTCGAATCCAATCAAAGCTTCTACTATTTTGGCCTGGACAACATCATTGTGGTTCCCATGCCCCAATGAGCCATGCACACCACTTCCAAAGGTCATGAGAATTCCACGATCTATGAACAAAGACAATTACACTGGCATGAATTTCTCAAATTAAGCGTTTACCAATCATTCATTGATAATTAATGTACCATATACCATATGCCATAACCTCGTGGTTAGTGCGCTCGTCTCCAGCTCGAGTGGTCTGGGTTCAAGCCCTGGCTGGGGACATTGCATTTTGTTCTTGGTCAAGACACTTTACTCACACAGTGCCTCAGAGTCTCCACCCAGGTGTATAAATGGTTACTAGCAAACTTAATGCTGGGGATAACCCTGTGATGGACTAGCATCCCATCCAGGTGGGAGAAGAAATACTCCTAGTTGCTTTATGCTACAGAAACTGGGATAAGCTTGTATGCTTGTATGGCTCGTATGCAGACTTTGCCTATAAGCCTGGGGAACATACGTTTACGTACAATGTACTTACAGTATAAAGTCACTGCAAATGAGACTTGCAGTTAACGCCTTATTGATTTTGATAGTGTTGCTCCATAACATATGCAGTAAAGTACAAAACGCAAGGAATGTTACCATAAATTCTGGCCTGGAGAAGGAAAAGCCTGAAGCTTTAAAAGATTTAAAAGAGGGACGCAGTGGGAACAATACCGTAATACTGATCATGGGTATGGAGTGATACATGTAAACAGATATTTTCTACGACAGTTTATATATAAAGGTGAAGAATGATCATCGCAGTAAATTTTCCAATTTAAGCAATTGGAAAGAAGAAGCCTGAAAAAANCAACTGCAGTTCAAATATGAATTATTTCATATATACCTCACATCAGTTTGTAAACAAATTAGACTGTTTTTGCACTCACAGTGCAGTATTGTGATCTTACAAGACTGCCAGTGTTCTGACTAGTTTTTGTTACCTAATATCATATTGCATGTGATGAACAATTGTACTGTATTAATCACGAAAACCAAGGGATGAACTGCACGAACCTGTCAAACAAGCCACAAACAAATCCCCACAGGAGACCTGGACAATCGTCACTCCAGACTGCCCCTCAAGGAACCTTGGTACCCACATATCCTCCAACAACATTCCCTTATCTGCTGCATCTGAAGAAACATTCACTGCTTTTTTGTTAGAGTCCCAGATGATCATTCGCCCACCGCCAGTCACTCCTGTTTTCAGCGTCCTCCCAGATGCTACCTGCACCACATCTGAGTCATGTTGCGGCAATGTAAGTTTTGTGGGTGAACTGATGCCACCACCCCAGTGGTACACTACATACTGGCACTCTGGTGGCTTAAAATCTGGAAGTCCCTCAAGGATCACAGATGCTGAGTTAGTGGAACTGGTGCGATAGATTTGATTGCCTGTGGGCCGACTGCTGCTTGAAGATCGTCCACGTGCTGGGGGTATGGCAGCTGCCAAGAAGAACAAAGTTAAGAGTGTTGATAAATGTACATGTGGGAGATGCATCCAAAAAAGTAGACAGGGGTGACAGTTCAATTGATGAGCTTGATTATACATACCAAGCTAAGTGAAGCTCTATCTCTTGATTGAATTTGAGTAATGCTTGCCATTTAATCAATACACACCAATGGTGTACTCCTAGATTTGATGCCTGAGGGGTGGGATGGGGTGTGGGGGGAGTGATGTTTTCCAAAGTTAGCGCTAGTAATCATAAAGGGCAAATTTGTTAAAGACCCTGGATTGTATTTTCCTGGGCAGGCATTTTCCCATTCTGCAATATCCAATGTTATGAGTTTCCCTTTCTCAATTTGTCTCACATTATCTTCCCTACCCTTTCTCCCCTTGGGATGTTTGAATTCCCTCCAGCCCATGCATAATGATTCCCCACTACACTTGTCCGCCTTACGTTAATGCCCTTAAGTCAACAACATGAATGACTACCAGGGCTGTGCTCTAGACGTCCCCAGGTGCCCCAGGTGACTAACCTTTGCCTTTGGGTGACTAGAAAAACTTACTTTTTTCAAACAAGCTTAAGTGCTTGCCGCTCCCAGGATTTCATGGTTAGGAATGCTTAGGCTCCTTGTAATTTTTCTTAGACCACAGCCTTTACTACTAACACTCGTTCTTCAGGGTTAGAGAAAAATGCAGCCTACACTTTACTTGGTCATTTTACTCTTTCAAGAACCTCTTTTAAAGACAAAGGTCATCATGTTAAGGGAGTTCCACTGTTTCAGAAACCTTTCACAGAAGGAAAGCAAGCAACACATGTAGGTACTGTGCAACTGCATGTGTATTTCATGTATTATAATAGAATGACGTTTTTTGTTATAAGCAGAATAATCAAGGGCAAGTATAGTTGTCATTGAGGCCTTAAGTGACACCAGGTTGAGAAAGAGATAGGTGAGGTTGAAGGTAAGTGTCATCAGCTGAAGATGTTTACAGTCAGCTGCCAGTGAAATCAATTTAGCTTCTGCCAAAACTTTACTGCTCACTTACAGTAGTATTCTTCATCATCTTCAACTTCGGGCATTCTATTTATACCACTTTGTTCTAAGCTACTTCGCATCCGTTGAATTTTTTGGCTTTTTTCACATCCACATTGTCCACTGTTTCCTGTGTGTTGCAGTCAGCAGAGCAATCACGCAGAAAGAACTTTGCAGCTGTGCAACTATGTTTGACTAAAGACAAGCTAACCCCTGTAGCTATGCGACCATACTCAACAGGAGAAAAAATATCCCGAATTATAATCCATCAAACATTTTCACTCACATCCAATTGGTCTAACTGCATTGAGTGACTGAATGTGCCCCAGCTGAAACTGGCAAATATCTGAGTGATATTCTCCAATTCTCAAATCCTGCAGGTTGAGAATAATATCTAAAGGATAACTAACACAATAGCCCCCATTTGACTTTAAAACTAAATAAACAATAGCCTCCATTTGGCACAAAAATATGCTCAGATACTTGTCTGCAGACATGATCTGTTCTGAGAAGCAAACAGTTTTATGAGCTTTGAGGCACAGATAACGTTCAAGGACAAATATCTGTGCATACAATCATGCAATTTCACACCAAATGGAGGCTATTGTGTTTATTATCCTTCATATATTTTTGGCAACATGCGCAGTTCTAAAAATTAAGAATATCACTTGGATGTTCCCCAGTTTTAGCTGGAGGATATTCAGTCAGCGTAACCCAAAAACACTGACCCCACTATGGACCAAGTCTGTGGACTACCCTACAGACTGGTCCACGGACTACCCCTACAGACCTCCTCTATGGACCACCCCCAAAATAATAAATAAAGATTTCATTTATGGGTTATCTAATAGATTACTCTTGTTGGTGAAATTTCAAGTGTTATACTGTGCAAATGTAACAGACTTGGGGTTTTAAAACCTGAAAATAATGTCTAAAAGCTGTTCTTGGCATAAGAAGATGTCGAAGGCAAAAAGAAGGAAAGTTCTTCCCTTCAATTCGTG